GAGAGCTCAGCCAGGGCCCTTACACCATGATGCTTCAGAATTTCAAAGGGAAGGTCATTGTGATCGTGGGGCACGTGGCAAAGCACACAGCTGAGGTAAGTGTACTCAGAAATGTCCTGCACGTGTTCTGAACTGTTCCTGCCTACTGTCCAGGTGGTTGTAAATAGGTTTCTTCAGAGTCAGTCGTAGATAAGCCCAGCTCTACGGATCTGTCTGTATTCTTTCCTAGATTTGTCTCTCAGGGAAGCCTCCTTCCTCCCCACCTCCTGTTTTCAGCATCAGGATGAGTGTTAGGAGGCTTAGGAAAACCCAGAGCTGCTGGTGTTACTTGTCAGTGTTAGGAGCTGGGTCCTAAGTTTGAGGATATTAAAAGGTGGACCTTTAAGAGGCGGGTCCTAGTAGGAAGTCCTCTGGTTAGTGGAGGTTTGCCTCTGTAAGGGACTGTAGGCCCTAGTCACTGACTTCTGATACCTCCATATACATTAGTGCCATCCACAGTGGGCATTGACTGTACGCCTTTGGACTTCCTCCCTTTGCAACTAAATATGAGCTGTCTAAGCTTCCTTTCTCTATAAAGTCAGCTACCTCCATTATTTTGTTATAATGAAATAAAAATTAATATGACAGCATAGGTTTCCAGGGATTTTTTTTTTCCTAGCTGCTTTTTGAAATTTCAAAAATACAGACTGAACTTCTATCAGAGAATCAGGGCCAGAACATAGGCTTTTGAAGCTGCCTAGGTGGCATTTGTTGGACTTTGGTAAGATTTTGTTGACTAGAAACTCAAGGGTTAGTATCTGTTTAAGATGTGTGAAACAAAAAGCTGGACTCCCTCTCCAGATTGAGAGAACAATTGACTATATTCTAAGCAAACTGCAAAATAAAAAGTAGATATGACTGCTAAAAATTACCACCAAGAAAGAGATAGAGAGAGGAGAGTGAGAGAGAGAGAGAGAAAGACAGAGAGAGAGAGAAGAAAGGAAGAAGGAGGGAGGGAGAGAGAGAGAGAGAGAGAGAGAGAGAGAGAGAGAGAGAGAGAGAGAGAGAGAAAGACAGAGAGAGAGAGAGAAGAATAAAGAAAGAGAGAAAGTGGAGCCTGGTGTGGCAGCATACACCTTTAATCTCAACACTCAGAAGTCTTGGCAGATGGATCTCTGAGTTCAAGGCCAGCCTGGTCTATCTACATAGCAAGTGTAGCAAGTGTCAGGACTATGTAGAGAGATCCTATCTCAAAGAAAGAATGAAAGATAAAGAAAGGTGTGGGAGACTACAGCATATGAGAGCCATGCAGGGTCACAAACGACATCCCCAGAGTCGGTAGAGAATATTCCTGTGTTGAGTGAATGCAGAACCCATCCCATCCAAGCCAAGTGAGGAAGAATCATTCCTATTAAAGCAGCAGTTACTAGCTCCCTGTAGAACACAGGCAGAGCTTTCCCAGATTACCAATCAAATGAATCCCATGGCACCTCAGGCAGAATAAAAAGGGAGACCAAAGGAGGGTCGGCAGTGTGTTGAGAGATTTGCCTAGGAATGGAGGTTAAAGTATTCCCAGCCATTTTCCTTTATGTCTCTATAGAAGGGACAAACCATAAATATGGTTATTAAAAATGTGCTGACATGAGAACTTGAAGAATTTTGGTCATTTTAAGTTTCCGAAACTTGGTGGGCAAGATGGCTCAGTGGGTAAAGGCACTTTCTCCAAAACTGACAAGCTGAGTTAATCCCTAGGACCCACATGGTGGGCGGAGAAACACGACTTCCACAAGTGGTTCTCCAACCTCCACATGTATGTGTATGTGTACACACACACACGGAATGAATGAATGAATGAATGAATGAATACACAAAAATATTTAAAATATCTAAAAATTGTTTTAGAAGTGCAGGGATAAGGACAGTACTTACTTTTGACATTGAATGAAGGCCAGCCTTGACTTTGAAACTTTACTAATTATGTCAAAAATCACACCTTTCATATAAATTGTGATAATATATAATATGTAACAGAATATCTAAATGTACCCTTTTCAAGAAAGTTAGTGTAGTAAGTAGCTGGTCACTTAAATCCATAATCCCAAGTCAGTGACAGCATATATAATTACAGCCATGGTAGTATTGTTTTGATGTAAGATGTCACTTTATGACTGCTGCATACATACATAGTCAGTAGTGCCATACCATTCCATACATCCATATCACTATTGAGAATCACATACTTCTAGGTTCCAGGTGACATACAGCCTTAGGAAGGAATCCCAACAATAGTCCAAATTATGGACTGGTCTTTATATGAGTGGTGCTGTGCTAAGTACATACATGTGTTTTCTTCTTTTGTTTTCCATAACTGCTCTGTTAACAGAGTGTGGTGATTAGAGTTAATTGTCAACCTGACAGAATCTAGATTCATCTGGAAGACAGGTCTCTAAACATGACTAGGGGGAGGGGGCCTTATCTCGTCTGCATTGAGGCTAGCCTTATCTTGTCTGCATTGAGGCTAGAAGGCCCATCCACTGGGTGTGCCACTCCCGGGTTATTTAAATGAAGAAAGAAGCTGAGCATCCTGTATTCCCTGTGTCTGTTTCCTGGTTGCATACACATGTGACACATATCGTGACACAATAGACTATACACTCTTGAACTGTGCTAAGTCAAAATAAAAATTCTTTCTTCTTTCATTGCTTCTGTCAAGGTTTATTTTTAATCACAGCAACAGGAAAAGTAGCTAAAACAAGGGAGACTCATTCTACCCATCTCAAACATGAGAAAAGCTGGATTCAGTTTACCTAATGTGCCGGATGATAGGAATGTACACTGTTAACCACTACGTAAGCTCTGCTACTAATTAGCTCAGCGCAGGAGGCTGTTGAGTCTCATGCTGCTGTGTGTCCTGGTTTTAAAGTGGGCTTATTCTGACTTCATACACAACACTTTACCAGACTATGGCTGTGTTTTCATAAAACATTCGCCACTTGAAAGAAAGTTCCTAACAAGTAGACCTTATAGTTTTAAAACTCCTTAAACTGCCAACTGCTTCCAAATAACCTAATCATATTGATTTGTCATTTATCTAACTTTACCATACAGGTAAAACATGTCTGTCAATACATAGATTATTTCTTTCATTAAGCCATTAATTTAAAAATCTCTTATGTACAAGCCAATAAGTGTAAGTTCAGAATTTGAAGGAAATATATAAGAATGAATACTCACGTGCAGTATAGGATATTTAATAATACTGAGCCTTCATATTCTAAATTAGTGTCATCCTTATTAGAAGTCAGCTACTATCAATTACTTTTTCTTTCATCCTTCTTGCTGACTCATTTATAGACAGTAATGACTAGACAAGTTATATGCACAGCTCCTAGTGCTTCAGTCCAATCACAGTAACTCATTTGTGATCATTATAGATTGGGATCAAGATCTATTTTTAGTAACGTTTCTCAGCAAAGGTCAAAAGACAACTTTAGATACTTATTTGTATGGTTTCCTATTTATCTCTGCTGCCCAGATCTGTATAGCAGTCTGGATGCTTCCCCGACACGCACTGAATTAGATGCATGTCAGCTTGAGGTATTGGAATTCCACTGTGTGTCTGTGCTCGTGCTGGATAGCTTCTCTTCACTCCACTGCCCACTGCAGATCAATCCTCTACCCTTCTTCACACGTCTTTCCAGCCCACAAAGGAAAATGCCTGTGAGTTCTGAATCCTGGCTGTTCATTAGTGAAGAGCTCTGAGCAGTTATGGGTTGGAAGGAAGCAGGATATTTGTCCTCCTAGGTCTTTCTCAACAATGACCTCAGGCCAGCTGTGTCACTCTACTGAAAACAGCATTTCTCTCTGGAAAGCCTCTCACCACAGTTCTCCTGTGAGCCCCTGGCTTCATCTCCAGGAGTGGTAGCAAATCTGCTTTTGCAAGCCTTGGTTAGCACTGCCCATTACATTCTCCTGCATCCCCTCCTCCTCGGTAATCAATCACCACCTGAGTTCATGCTGAGGTCAGATTAGGATCCCAGCTGTCATAGGACAGTATTTTAAAAATGTGAATTTTGTAAGCCTAGCTTCGATACTATGCTTGTTTTCTCACTAAATGAGTTAATTTGGGCTAGTATTTGGCCTTTTCAAGACATTATTTGTTCAATTATAAAGTGAAAATAACATTTCAAGCTCATCATTAATGAAAGCTTTTAGACAAGGCATGTAAAGTTTCTTGAGGAACCTAGTAATAGCGCTCACTGCACTAGACTTATATATGAGTATTGTAAAAAGTTCTGAGTGTGAGGTTAGGAGCATAGCAGCAAAACAAGTACTGACTAGCTCAGCTCTGACCAGGTTCAGAGCTCAGACAAGATCCGCTGTGGTCAGGTGGTGTGGCCGTAGACTAGGAGATGACCCTAACCCAGTCCTCCACATGCTCAGATCAGTCTGGGGAAATAAGCACAGTCAGTGACAAAGGAGTCAGTCAAAAACAAAATTACAGTCGATGGATGGGTGGATGGATGGATGGATGGATGGATGGATGGATGGATGGATGGATGGATGGGTGGGTGGATGGGTGGATGGGTGGGTGGGCGGTCAGTCCCCAGTATCAGAGCACCAAATAATGGTAAGAAGTAAACAGCAAAATTAAATTATACTCTAGACCACATGGGCTTAAGAGCTCTTAACAGTCCATCAAACAGCTGCCCAATATTTCCCTTTACTCCGATATGAACATTCTCCAGCATAGGGTGTGTAATAAGCAACAAGTTATTCTCAACAAAATTTTAAAAAGTTGAATATCACATATATTTTCTAATCACAGTTCAAAGAAAATATTAAAATCAATAATAGGAAAAGCTTTATAAACTACAAATGCATGTAAGTTCAGTTATTTTTGAACACTCAATGGATTAATGAATAAATCAAAGAATTTTCCTGGGTTGTTTTTTTTTTGTTTTTTTGTTTTTTTTGATTTTTGGTTTTTTGACACAAGGTTTCTCTGTGTAGCCCTGGCTATCCTGGAACTCACTTTGTAGACCCAGCTGACCTCGAACTCATAGAGATCCACCTGCCTCTGCCTCCTGAGTGCTGGGATTAAAAGCAGACCCAGCCTAATTCTTTAAATAAATGAAAGTGGAAACACAATATACCAAAGCATAAGATTAAGTGGAATTCATCCCAGTGATGCAGGAATGGTTGATGTATGCAAATCCACAAATATGATATACCACACCAACAGAATGAAGTACACAATCATTTGACTATTTCAACTGGTGCAGAAAGGGGAGTATTTTATAGCATGTAACATTCATTTATATAATAAATGATAAGCAAACCAGGTATAAAAATAATGACCATTTATAGGAAGGCAGCAGCAGTATACTAAACAGTACATAGATAAGAATTCCCTCTTAGGACCGGGAACAAGACAACAATGTCCTCTTTTATTCAACCTTATACTGGAAGTCCTGGTCAACAAAATCAGACGAGGGAAAAAAATAAAAGTTGACAAAATCAGAACAGAAAGAAACTAAATTACCACTGCTTGACATTGACATGATTTCATACAGGAAAACACCCAAGCCCCAGAACAAACTACCAACACTAATGAAATCATCAGCTGCAAGAGAAAAAATCAGCAGCAGTGCTATTTGTCAATATCAAATAATATGAAGTAGAAATCGAGAATGCAGTGTCTACTTGTGGATATTATAGCCTAAGAGATGAAATCAGGGCTGGAGGGAGAGCTGAGTTTGTTAACTTTGCTGTAGAAGCATGAGGAGCAGCATTCGATTCCCCACAGGTCACATGTAAAGAAGCTGTGTGCAGTGATGTTCTCCTGTAGTCCCAGCACTAAGAATGCAGAGATGGGAGAATCCCTGTTTTCTGCTTATCAGCCAGTCTAGGCAAATCAGTGCTCTCCAAGTTCAGTGAGAGACCCTGTCTCAAAAAATAAGGCAAAGGGTTACTGAGGAAGACATCCTCTGTCAAAATCTGGCCTCTGTACACAAGTGTATATGCAACTGCACACATGTGCACATCAAAAGAGAAATGAAATCAATATGACAAGGAAACACATCCCAGTTCATTATAGCCAAGAAATAGAAACAGCCTGAATGTCCACCAGCAGATGCATGGATGAACCTGCAGCAGAATACCATTTAGCCACAAGAAGAATGAAGTCACTCACGTCACTTCTGACAACGTGGATGAACAGGAGATCATTATGTTAATGTAATATGGTAGGCATAGGAAGTCAAATATCCAAAGCCTTGGTCTTTTTGAAGTTGAAGTAGTAGTAGAATAGTAGTTGCCAGAAGTTGAAGTGAATGTAATTAGGTAAGTTTAAATGTGCTGCTGCACAGTGTGATGTTGTAGATAGCCATTATATACAGTCCAAAAGCTAGAAGAAAGGATTTTAAAAGTTTTCATCATAAAGAGATGATAAATGTTTAATGAAATATATATATTTTAATCTGATTTAAACACTACACAATCTTTACAGATATTGAAATACTGCTCATTAATATGTACATACTTTTATTTTTATATATGGATGAAAACTCATTTAAAAAGTATATACTCCAAAAAATAGTAAGTAGGAATTAATTAATTGAGGAATGGTAAAATTTGTACATTGCAACTACAAAGTATTGCTGAAAGAAATTGCTGATCCGCAGGCCACCTGAACGGGTGAGACAGTCAGTTGGCTTGATCTGTTTGGGAGGCAGCTGTGCATTGGTGCCAGGTCCTGGGCTTGTTGCATGAGTTGGCTGTTTGAATCCTGGGACTTATGCAGGGACACTTGGCTCGGTCTGGGAGGGGGGAATGGACCTGCCTGGACTGAGTCTACCAGGTCAACCCCG